CTTTGAATAAAGTTTGGCAGTTTATGGAAAACAACACTCATATTATCAGAATTGCTACTGGTGATGTAAAACAATTAGAAGGGGTGGAAACCATGACAAACTGCCAAGACCCCGCAACATACATTGACAACTGTATAGACACAATGTTTAAATATAATATTTTCTTAAAAATATGTAAGAGAGTAGGAGCAAAGGACAGCGTAGAAGGAGAAAGAAACAGAAAAATATTAAATGATATGTATAATGACTGGTGGGAAAACAACATTCCACGCAAAGAGTTTATACTTAAATACAGTTATTTAACCGATGACATCATGGCATCAGAGCATAATATCGCTTATACCAATATGAGATGCGAAAATGTAGCAAATGAGATTAGAGACAGATTAAACATAAGTGATAAATATGTAGTGGGTGATATTTTGGTTTCCAGAACATGGATTAAACAACCAAGGGTTAATATCAATTTGAGATACAGGATTACAAAGATAGAAGATGATGAAACAGGAAAACAAATAACATTACAGAATATAGCAAGACAAGAAGATGAGTTTATGTTGTCTGAACCTATTGTAGATAAAAACTTCATCTATCCTTACTGTGCTACTTGTCATTCAAGCCAGGGGTCAAGCGTAAAGGAAAGCATAACTATTCACGAATGGGACTTACCCATAACCAGCAGAGAGTGGATATGGACGGCATTGACTCGCTGTGTTGATTTTAGGAAAGCTAAATTTTATTGTAATCCAGACTTTGATAAGCAAATGGATAAAAATATGATAATGAGATATTTTAAAAACAAAGTAGAAAATTATAAGATACAAGACCGTCGCGCTCAAAGAGAAATTAATGAGGAAGAATACATTAGTGCTGAATGGTGTTTATCACAGTTTCGCGCCAGATGCCAAAAGTGTAATACTTCATTTAACTTTGAAACGAAGAAAGGTAAATTATGTAGCAATTTTACTTGTCAGCGCCTTGATAATTCAATCGCTCACCATATAGATAATTCAACTTGATTCTGTGTATATTGTAATGTTTCAGCTCATTAAGATTTTAATATTTTTTCATAATAAAATCTTAGTTTTAGACTAAAAAAGGTTTAAAGAAATAATACCTATATATAGTAGAGAGTAATGAAGGAACAAGAAGTAAATAATTATATCAATAAGAAATGCTATGACTGTTGCCACTTCAAAAAAGAACATATGGAATTATACAAAATGAATTTACCTAATGGAATAGTTAATAATATTATTGATTATGCTTTGGGTGAAGAAGATGAATGTAAAATTTGTCAGGAATGGAGAAATAATCAAGAATTAATCAGATATCATTTAAATTTGGAAAGAAGAAATAATAGAAATGTTGGAGATGAAATTTTGATATTTTTAACTGTGTATGAAAGACCACCTTATAGTTATGTTAGAATATTTCTCAAAATCGGTAAGAAAAAGTATGAAATGATTAACCACATATTATGGATGTTGTTGAATCGTAGGAGAGACGGGTCTGATTTAAAAGGAGACATTAAATCATATATTGAAAGCAAAAAGTTTAATGTGAAAAATACCGTGAGAGATATCAATATTATTTTTGAACTGATGCATGACAGACGTAAGATATATACACAATTTAATAATCATCAATTAACTTATTATCCTGAATTTAAATTATAAATAATATTATCAATATAATAAATCTTAATTTATTATATGGATAAACAAAAAACAATTAGTGATATTTACTATGACAAAAGCGGATACGGTAGTAAAGGAATAACTTTGAAAGATGCCAGACAGAAAGATAAAACTATTACTGCGGACGATGTTAATGAGTTCTTTAAAAAGAATGTTGAGGAAAAAAGGAAAATGCGAGGGCAGAATAGTTTTGTTGCTCCTCATGCCTTCTGGGAATTTCAGTTAGATTTGTTCTTTATTTCAAAAAATGATTTGGAAAATCAAAAGTTTAGAATTGGATTAATATTAATTGATATATTTAGTAAATATGCTACTGTAATACCTATTGCAAGTAAGCAACCGCCAGACGTATTAGCAGGAATAATGGAAGGCATTAAGAAAATGGGCGGAAAACCCAAAATGATATACAGCGACGAAGAAGGCAGTTTGTTTAGTTCTACCATTACAGATTATCTTGATGAGGAAAAAATTGAATTACACACCACGAGAGGCCACCCTGCTTTTGGAGAAAGATTTATTAGAACCTACAAAGATATGCTTTTTAAAAGAGTTGATGCGGATGAAAAGAAAGGTAAAAACAATATACAATGGATAGATTACAATTTAGAAATATTATTGACATATAATAATAAATTAGTAAGTTCCGTTACGAAAATGACACCATTAGAAGCAAGGAAGAAAAAATGAGTTTGAAGTGAAACTGAATATATCAATGAATGCCAGAAAAACCCGTGTGTATCCTGATTTAGATGTAGGGGACAAAGTCAAGATAATGAGAAAGAAAGCGATTAGTGAGAAAGAGAGAACCAGTCATTGGTTAAGGACAGTCCATACAATAACCAAAATAGAAACTAAATTGGGTCAGAAATATTATCATGTTAGTGATTTTCCCAAACCTCTATTACGACATGAAATGTTGAAATTATAGTTTTAGACTCAAAGGGTTTAAAGAAATAATACCTATATATATTAGTGAGAATGGAAATTAATAAATTACCTGTTGAAATATTGAGCAATATTAATTCCTTTAAATTTGGCAAACCTGAGTATATAAAAATAAACAGTTGTCATAACGAAGCATTGAAGAGAATACAGACCAATTACAAAATTAAAACAACTGAACCACAAACAATATACAAATACCTAAAATTAATAAATGGAGGAACAGAGAAACAAGTTAAAAGGGAATATGATATTGAAAGAAGAGTGCCATTTGGAATGGACAGCATTGAAAGTATTATCAACAAGCAAAAAAATGAGTTATTAAGTTTAATCTATGAAGAAGTAGAAGATAATACTGATTTTCAAGCCAAATTAGATGTGTTTTTAGACATAAGAATAAGGATTAGTGAGCGAGAATATAAAGAAGGCATGTTTTCAAGTTTAAGCATAAGTTTCTGTCCTTATGAGATGAATGTAGATAATTACATAAACATAAATGAACACAATATTAACAAAGTGTTGAGCGAAGCAGTCGAACATTTGAAGAACGGCATTCAACATTTGCACCAGTCTATTTACTGTTTTGGCATACAATCATTTGGTTTCAGATTAATCATTAAAGAATATGTTTAAATAACAGCATTGTTAAGATAATTTGTTATTATCTTAAACATGTTCATATTTTGGACTTTGTTATGTTCCTTGTTTGGTTTTTTGTGTGGTTTGTTGTTTGGTGGTTTTTTTCGGGACAGGTGGCTTACCCAGACCTTGATATTTATTATGCCTAAAACCATTTAAAGAAATGTTCTTTTACTATGGTAGGAGATGAAAGACGATATGAAAAAATGTAAGCAATGTGATACTACATATTCTTCTGATTTGTTTAAGAATATGATTAAACTTTGTGATTACTGCCGAGAACAAAACAGATTGAAGAGAGAGGAAACCAAAAGACAATGGAGAATTAACAATCCTGAAAAAGTATGGGAGAAGCAACGCAGATACAGAGAGAACCACCCTGACAGAGTACAGGAAAAGAACAGGAAATACAGAGAGAGCGAAGCAGGGAAAGCAACAATACAAGCAAACCGGCAACAGGTTCACTATTGCGAATTGTGCGATTATGAAGTTAAAAAAGGTAAGAAGTCTCAACACGAGAAAACTTTAAACCATCAATATTTTTTACAGAAAAGTTTGAACGGTGAAAAATTGGAACGACCGGATAGTAAAGAAATTGTAAATGGCGTGTTGTGGTTTAGATGTTTGAAATGTAAGAAGAAAGAAATTTATTATTCTTGGTGCGACCATGTATCAAGTGAAGGACATATCAATAAATGTTGCGAAGTTGATTGAAATGGTTTAAGTTATTCTTTAAAATGAATAACTTGAAGCATTTTATATAGATTTTGGCGAGTGGTTTGATTATATGCTGGTGTGGCGCGGGGAGGGTAGTAAGAGATGAGGTCTGGGTAAGGTCCTTCTTGCTGGGGGGGGGGGGGGGGGGGGGGGGGGGGGGGGGGGGGGGGGGGGGGGGGGGGGGGGGGGGGGGGGGGGGGGGGGGGGGGGGGGGGGGGGGGGGGGGGGGGGGGGGGGGGGGGTGGTGGGTGGGTGGGGGGGGGGGGGGGGGGGGGGGGGGGGGGGGGGGGGGGGGGGGGGGGGGGGGGGGGGGGGGGGGGGGGGGGGGGGGGGGGGGGGGTGGGGGGTGGGGTGGGGGGGGGGGGGGGGGGGGGGGGGGGGGGGGGGGGGGGGGGGGGGGGGGGGGGGGGGTGGGGTGGGGGGTGGGGTCGTGTCCCTCCAGGGTCAGCAGTAGATAGGGATTCGTCACAGTTTCTCAAGGGAAGCCGTCAGTGATTAGGGGAAAACCTATCAAATTTGCCAGCGTCTTTTTTCCGGCCGGGGTGAACAGTAAACACATCTTGTTCTTGGATGCGGATGCCTCCCCAAAGGAAACAACCTCCTCTCCACAAGAAAGCCTACGACAAGAATGGGAGGTTGTTTGTTGATACATCCTCGGCTGATAGGTTTATCCCTGTTGGAAACACTCGGGGGTGCTTGTTTGCTGGTTCGAGGATTCCCCGCGGATGTTCCAGTTTGGATTGATACATCCCGTGAATGTTGCCCCCCTTGTGGAGGGCACACCTATTTTAGGAAGCTCTGAGCTTGGGCTTCCCAAATGTTCCCTCTAGGTTGGCACTAGTAGACGCCATAAGGAAACCGTAGGGGATAGACAGCATGGTGGCTTTCCCCATTTGGACTCACTAAATGTCCCACAGAACCCGAGTCTTGAACGGCGCATATTCTGAACGTTGCACATGTGGTTGGCCGTCCGGGTTGCCTCGTGCACTGTACGCTGCCCACATGGCTTTGCTCTGCCACCAAGCGGAAGGAACCCCAAAGCGGGGGGAAAAGAAATAATATCATAGGAGATCTCCCTCTCAATGCGTTGAGTTGTCCATGTCAATAAGCGTATCTCACTTTTCCCCTAGGCGAGCCCGAGCAATGACCCCAGGCCAGCGGTCGTTTAATGCCATGTGACCATCTCACGACCCAAAGGCGAGATTCAAACCCCTGCCCATCCAGAAGGAATTGATCTTTGGGTTCCACGGCATCCAACGAACATTGTCCCAACAGTAGATTCTGTGGATGGACGAAATCCTGTACCACCTAAGAAACCCTGGAATGATGCTTCCCCTGTGAAATTTAACAAGCAATGATTTCTCCAGGTTTCCAAGTGGTGCAGGATTTCGTCCATCCACAGTTTCTCTGACCATGGATGGTTTGTTGGAGCCCTTTCACTTCGCATGGTTTCCAAGGCCCTCGCCAGGTAGGGATGTGCCTCTGAACCAGGGCTGAGGATTCTGGAACTTATTGGAGCCTATCCCAAAAAAGCCGCCAGTAGGATGGTTCAGCTTGGGGGAGTTATCTATGTTGCACGCTGGGCCACAAAACATCAATGGGTTGCACATGGATCGCCTTTTGCATGCTTGTTGTTGGGACACATTTTACATTTCTGCTTATTGCGGTTCAGTGGTTGAAATCCCCACTGAACTGCTAAGATTCAAATTTTTGTTCCCATTCCAACGTCAACCAAGATTGGCTTTGGGCGGTGGTCGCCAGGCCTTTTGGAGGCGCTGGGCTTCGACGAGTCGCGGCGCCTGGCCTCGATGCTGCGCTTCGCGACGCTGGGGGCCACCCAGCACCCGGACCCCAGGCGCGCGCTGAGCGCGGCGGAGGAGGCCGGGGGTGGGGGAGATTTGGAGCAGCTGTTTGCACCTAGGCGTTGGTTGGGTTGTGGTTGGGGGTAGAGGTTGGGTTGGGGTTAGAGGTTGGTTTGGAATTAGAGGTTGGTTTGGGATTAGAGGTTGGGTTGGGGGTAGAGGTTGGGTTGGGGTTAGAGGTTGGGTTGGGCAGTTGCTGAACAGCACAGCCTTGAGAGGTTGGGCTGGTTGGGTTGGGATTGTGGTTTGACGTTTGGGGGGAGTGGGGGGTGGGGGTGAGGGGAGAGGGTGCTGGTTGAGTGGGGGGGGGAGACTGAACTGGCGGGCTAGAGCGGTTGCATCTTGAGGGGCCCATTCTCGAAATCAGGTTGGGGCTGGAAACTCTCTTAACCTCCAGAACAAGAGGGTCATTTTGCGGTACTTCTTGCACTTGAAAGGACCTAGGATCTAGTGTTAGTTCAGTTTGGCTTGAAGTAGACAGAACTGGCTATGCTGTACTGGTTTCAGGTCGGTTCTACTTATGAAGCCGTGCCATCATTTTCAGGGTCCTGAACCTCACCCTTCAAGAGAGCTTTATTGTGGGGGGTGTCATGGACAATTCGAGTGCAGCAAGCTACCCCAAAATGAGACTCAGCCCCCTGATGTTGGGCTTTTGCGTGATCTAGGTCGATTTCCAGCTCACATCATGGCTTTGCAGACCAAAGAGGTTACTTTCTGTTTGGCCGGAATTGGGTGGATGCTTTCGGGGGGAAATGGAACCCCTTCAGAAGTGGTCGGTGGAAACCTGTTCCCATGAATTTCTGACGTCAACTCAAGGGTTTCCAATTGAACATCATACTCAAATAGGCTCATCGTTGGGAAAGCCAGGGTGGGTGGGAGGTGAAGAAATCCCTTACCTTAAATTAGTGGATGGTTTCTCCCAAGATGCTCGTCAGTTGGAACATGGCCGTCAGACGGAACCACGACCCGTGATGATGATGATGATGATGATGATGATGATGATGATGATGATGATGATGAGGATGAGGATGAGGATGAGGATGAGGATGGGGATTAGGATGAGGATGAGGATGAGGATGAGGACGGATGGTGGTGGTGGTGGATGGTGATGGTGGCTCAGGCCTATAGGTGTCCTTTTTGGTTGTTTTGGCACACGAATAGATGGCCCTAGTTTACCAGGTGGTTTACTCATCTGCCAGGGCCATCTATTTCCCCCAAAAGGGCACCTATGCTCAGTCCAAGTCGGGCTTTCAAGGCCTGGGTGCAGTGGAGGGTCCGTGCCCTCAGCGTCCACATCCGCATCCTGTCGCCGCTGGCCCGCGTACTGTGCCTCCGCCGCGTTTTTGTATTCGGCCGCGGGGGCTAGGCGTTGGGGGGGGGGGGGCGCTGGGTGTCCTGTTTTGGTTTCCAACCTCTTTTGTTGGTCCTTGTCAGCAATTTTTCTGTTGGTTGCCCAAGGGTTACTTTAGTTGTTGCGTGTTGGTGTTCACATTGCATGTGTTCCTGTTGGTTGGTCTAATTTGATTTCTCAAATGGTACTCACCATGTGTGCACGCGGAGTGTGTGGGTGCGGGTGTGGGTGTTTTGCTGTTGGCTTCATGTTGGTTAGCCACGTCGCCTTTTTTGTCCGACTGTTAGTTTCCCACGTGGCTTCACCTCCTGCTTGATTTCAAGCTCCAGATGAATGGTGGCTTCTGTAGCTTGACTTGTTTGGCTCGGCTTTTCAACATGTTGGACAATGGGTAAAAGAGACAATTGTCGATTTGATTCTGCAAGGTTCCATAAACCAGCCGATGAAGCCTGGAATGGGCGGCTTAATGTTGGATTCCATTTGCCCATGAGACAAAACATGCATGGTTCTTTCCACTGCAGATCGGCAACCATTTCAAGGAGCTTGTTTCAGCAAACCAGTGCCAGGCTCCTAGGTATTTCCCAGGCTTCTTGAGTGATGGCACTCTGAGAACAAAGTCGTTGCCGTGGGAGACGGGATAGGGATCAACAGAAAAATCTTAAGTGCCTCCCCCCATGCAACAATCACGGAACTTGACGTTTGGGGCTTGTCAACAACATTGTCTTCCAAGCGCCTGTCAGCTTGCGAACCATCTTGTGGCTTCCTTTAGGCGACTACGGTTCATGCAGGCCACCCCTGTTGATTCCTTAATGTTGGACCCTCTTTACACCACCACCCCCCGCTCTAGGAGCGGAACCAATCAGCGGGACCCTCTTTAAGCGAGATCCTGGGGGTCTGGGAGTATTGCCAATAGTATTGCCAAGGCTGACCCTCAGATTCCCAGTGCTTACTTTAGTATTGCACATTCTACTTTAGTATTGCCAAAGCTGACCCTCAGATTTCCACTTACTTTAGTATTGCCAATTCTACTTTAGTATTGCCAAGGACCTTTTTTTCCTCCAGCAACCCCCAAACAGGTTAGACACAAAACAGTCGCATTAAAGAGGATCAGGGCCCCTAGTGGGCACCCCCCTTTGCAAGACTGTTTGCCCGTACTTTTTTACAAAGAAGTTATCTTAAATTTGATGGTTTGGGGGCCACTGGCAAAATGAACTTCCTAGATCCAAGGCCTTTACCCTTTGAGCTGGGAAGAGCTTGGTTAGGTGAACCGCCCTAAAAGTAAAAGGCTACGGCTTGAGTCTAATAATTTCAGCAACCCAAAAAGCCGTTGGTCACATTAAAAGAGGCTCAGGGCCCCTTGTGGACAACCCTTGGTGTGACTGTCTGCCCGGACTTTTTTGTAAGGAAGTTATCTTAAATTTGATGGTTTGGGGACCACTTCAAAAAATCATGTTTGCCCGGATTTGTTTGCCTGTTTTTTTTGCTCGACTTCTTTGCCAAGTTTGTTTGGCCCATATTTTATCGGAGGCTTAGCCCCAGACAAGATCAGGAGAGCAAAAAAAGAGCCTATTATTTTATTTTTTTTGGGGGGGGTGGGGGGGGAGCAATTGCTGCAATTGAGGACCCCAAAGTAGTCACAAGATCCTGAATTGCGAAAAAAATGGCTCCAACTTAGAGGGGACTATTAATAAAGGAGGTGTAACATTAGCGACAACCAGCGCAAGCTGTTTGGAGCTGAGGATTCACTTCACCAAGCTGGAGCTTGCGCCGCCCCTGTGGCTCCTCGCCTCAGTCCCGGTGGCGCTCATCGCGGTGGGAGTAGGCGCTATGGCCCTCAGCAAGCGCCGCCTGGAGGAGTGAGCGCTGAGTTTGGCCATGTGCCAGTTATAGCAGGCATTCAATACACCCTCCCACCAATTTTCTATAGAACCTGACAGGGGCCCAGGCCCTTAAAAAGGAAAATTGTCTTCCAGGAACCCCTTGTCAGGTTCTATGTTGATTGGTGCGAGGGTAGGCTATACAGTTTGGAGCCATTCGGTGAGCACTCTCAGGGATGCCTGACTCAATGTTGTTGCAAGTGTTGAGCAACTCCACCATTTCGCGGCTGCGGCCGCCACCCGAGTTTCCCGTGTTGCAGCCTGCTGATGCAGCCACATGGGTCGGGGGTCTGTCCAAGCGGGCGCCGACATTTTCTCAGCTATTGGTTTACTTTGTTGACCAGAAGGAAGTAGGATTTGCTGCAGGGACTTAGTGATGGTCAGGGTTTGTCTTGTGTGTCTATAGTTTTGGGCATTGGTGTTAGTGGGCTCTTTGCAAGTGGAGTTGTGCGACATTCCTTGGTTATACGGTCATCACGCATACTGCCCCTGAATCGCCTACTTACTAGACTCAGAAGGAAGCGGTATGAATCGGCATGAATAAGACCTTCATGTCAGCTTGACAAGGGGGACGTACACCAGCCCTGGAAGGGAGGTCAGCGAGCAAGCGACCGGCAGCTCCCATTTTTCACCCGCCAGAGACCTAAGCAACTGACCCGCGGTGCGTGGGCAAACAAAGCGCGCGATAACAAGCACACAGAGTACTCTCTTTTGTTATTTTTCGTCGGGTTTCCCTTGCAGGCATCATCCAAGACAGTTGCCCTGTTCAAATTCAGCGGTTCATCTTTCTGCCTTGTGCCTGACGGTGCTGGCTTCCCTGTAGTGGTGTCCAGTGTCCAGGATTCCACTATATTTCCCCTTTTGGTGGTTTTAAGCATCAGGCGTTGTGCAGGCCAACCCGTGGCGCGCCCGTTTGGGGGCACCATGGTGTCCCCGCTGACAGGGCCGTGGAATTCCCTTTCGTGTTCGAATGATTGCTATCGGGGATGGCGTGTGGTGGTGCAGCTGATGACATGACCGAGAACTACATCAAGCTCAAACGCGGCCTCATGGTACCTGCAGAGTCTATAGTGAAATGCTGGGGGGTGCCTTTTCCACCCTTTTTGCTCCACGAACCCCGTCGTGGCTGCAATAGATTGCGAGAAAGGCCTGTCCTTTCTTTCATGTAGTATCTGCAGGAACGTCCCTTGCCTTTTCAGGACTTTGCATGATGCGAGCTCTTTGCAACTTGCATGTGTGACTTGCTGGTGCTTGTTTGGCATTCATGACGCGCAGTGGGCGACGTGGGGCGGGCGGTATACTTCATGATTTGATTGGACACAGCTGTCATTCCTGGGTTGGAGAGGCGGGACGTATCGAGTGTGCAGCGCGAGGTAAGTTACTACACAGGCATGAATGGCTACTTTTTGACATTATGATCACCACAGGAACTACGAAAGAAGGTTGTATGGGTGGGTGCTTAAGTTTGTTTTGAGGGTTCTCCTTCCACGGTTGGTTGAAAGTCCAACATAAATCCAAAGTCATTTTGGATTTTGGCCCCCCTTTGACACATACCTATTATAGCGCCTGCGCGACCCCCCTGCAGGGCCCAAGTGGCCGGCGGCTGGCGGGCGCCCCCTTGAAGCTAGTTGCTCATGGAAGAAGTATGTGAACTCGGCACTGGGTACTGAATCGCTCAGAAAGCCCACTTCTTTCCGCAAGCGAAAACCAACAGGGGATGGGTGCGCAAGTTGGAACGAGCGCATTTGGGCGTAAAAGGGCTCACCCATGATGAAGTCGTTTTACCTGGACTTAACCCCAACACATGCTAAACTAGAGCTTTCCTTTTTTCTTTGTTTTTTTGGGAGGGGGGGAGGGGTGCTCTTGCTGCCCTACTTCAGTATTCAGGCTATCACTTCCGTTCTACTGCTGGGCTTGGGAAAAACGCCAGCCCTTCACTGGCAAAAGCATGTTTGTTTTTGAGGGTCATGATTAGGGTTCCCTATGTTGACACAAATCCATCTCCTAGAACTTGAAAGGCTACCAACACGTTGTTTGGTCTTGTGGTAACATAAGACTCGAATATGTGGCCCGTTGCAAGTTGAAAGTGCATGAACCCGGGGGAGATTTCCGAAAAGGGACACCTCTGACCTGACCTGCAGGGATATTTTTTCACGCCCAGTCATTGAGATTGTGCTCGGGTTCGCCGCAGTGTTCGGTTCAGCTTGGCGCAAGTCGCCCAGACCAAGTTGCACAGCCACACGCCAGCCTTGCGGTTGACCCTGGAGTCATAAACTTCATGAATGAATTGAAGGTTGTGTCAATCGAAGGGCCTTTATGGGAACACCCTTAGTAGTACTTCTTATTACTGTGGGTTTGTCTCCGAATAGGGAAGCCACGAAAAGGGTGGATTCCCTTTGGTCCCTTCGTTGCGACTTCGGGCCACGAACTCCAGTAGCGGCGTTACAGTGGGATCGCCGTTTTTGTTATGTTGTACGTAGGGCAACCCTGGGATTCACCGGCATTTACCGTGGTTTTGTGGTGTGCTTGGAGGTGGTTGGAGGTGGCTTGCAATATTAGGGCTCAGACGTCCCCATCAGTTGGACTTCAAGCTTTTTGGGATCGCTTTGAAACTTGGTAAACAAGAAGCCTGGACTTGACCAATCCACGGAAGTGGGGGTTCTGCACCCAAAACGGTTTCCAGCCATACCCTGAGACTAGGTTTTTGTTAGGGACCCTTTGGTTGACATGATTTCGGTCGGGATTCATGTCCACCAACTTGTGAGGAGGTCACACGTGAAAATTCACGGGCAACGCAGAACTGAAAGCTTAACTTTTGTTTAGCAAGGCATCAACGAGCCGCAAAAGACAAATGGGCAGGAACCACGGGCAACCGTTCCGCCGGGAGCCCGGGTGAACCGCTCACTTCGCGTCGGCCTGCGGATGCATGGCGCGCCTCTGGAGCTCAAACGCAGCACCGCGGAGATCGCGAAAGCGAGGCGTGGAGAATATCCTAGGTCCAGCTAGGTGCCCTTTTGACCCTTTTTTGGGGGAGGGTTCCCCTACTAAAATAGACTACAGCAAAAAGGGTACCCTTGTTCTAACCTCCACTGGAGGGCCTAGTATCTTTTTCCAATGGAGGTGAACCCCCCCCCCACAACATGGTTGTTGTCGGGAAACATTTTCCCCATTTTGCTGATTGTTGAATCCCCACTTGACTGCGAAAATTCAAATGTTTGCTCCCCTTCCAAGGTCAAGGCAAGCAAAGTTGTCTTGCAAAGGCATTTTGGCTGCCATGTTGAGTCTCCAGCCCATGGAACCGGATTGAGGGTGTCTCGAAGGCCATGTCCCTCCAGCGATGACTTGGTCAGGGCAATGAATGGATGTGCGCCATCTTTTTGGGAACCAAGCAGAACAGAAGTTTCAATATCCTACCGGGAAAAGCCTGGGGTCATGTCAACTCATCTAAGGCTGTGTTGCCTGTAATCCGATCTGATGAAGCAGGCTTTCATCATGGTTGGGTGGGCACATCTTGCCGCTGGAGCCTGGGCTGGGTCAGGATAGGTGGCTTGACTTCTAGTGTTCATTGCGGTTGTTTATTCATTGGTGGGGTTTGCCTGTCTTGTGTTATGCTGGCAGTTGTGCTTTAGGCTGACGGGGAAGGAAGGGGGAGAGACAGAGAGAGACCAAACACGCACACACCCGCAAACACATTCACACATACGAACATTAATATTTCAGTGACTCACATACCTACAAGTCTACCTATGTCGCAACACAATTCTATACGTATCTATATCTGTATAGAATAGTAATAATACAACACACAGCTCTACATTGTGAATTTGTGTGCGCACAGCGTTCACTCCCCTTGCGACTTGCACTCAGAAACGCTCAGAGCTTGCCACGGCCGGGCTCCGGGGCTTTTGCTTGGAACCCCCGAGAAGAACGAACATCGTCCGACGGGTGGTTTCCTTCAAGGGGACTTTTGGGTTCATCTCTGTGCCCTGCTTATCGCACCAGCAGGTTGAAGTTTCTTGTCACAAAAACTTCCAAATTCTTTGACGGCTATCTGTGGCATGTTGCTGGGCAATGGGGTTTTGCGGGCACTTTTAACTGCCAACGGAGTTCGGCGGAGTTCCCCTTACAATGAAGACAACTTACTCATGGGAATCAACTAGGTGCTCATCATAGAAAATTGTGGTTTTCCGCAACCAATCTCATAGCGAGTCTCCATCCAATTAACGGGTGGCTAAGGAACCCTGCCAATCTGATACATGTTTTTGGGTAACGCCTTTCGGTGCGAGTTCAAAGGGCAGCGAAATAACCTTAGCTGATCCATAGTGTGTCTGGTTTGCGCATCCCTCTGGCTTTTTTCAAGCAAATCCAACAGGGAACCTACATTTTGCCAATAATTTCAGAAGCACACGGGCGGATGTGGAAGGGACCGTCATCTTCAACGGGCCTGTCCACTTCCATGATTGTTGGACAGAGGGCACCGTTTCGTGGGGTCCAGTAAGCACACCCATGTGTAGAAACCTTCGACGGCCAGTCTCATATCGTGTCCGCCTTTTGCTTGTCTTCTTTTTTAATGTTGAAGGGAAATCAGAAGGACACGCGCCATTCAGGTAACCCCCCAATTGGTGATTGGGATTGGTGATTTGGAAGATCCGAGCCACCAAGTGGAAGCTCAACTATTTTTCATGGCGGGTCTTTGGTAAAACCTTCTCCACCCTGGACCTGTTGGTTTCGTACACAGCTTTTCCATTCTCACCACAAAAGGTTCTTTTTAGTGATGCTTCAAAGGGAATAAATCGAGAGCCCTGTTTGGGGGTACCTGTTTGGGTAGTGGTTTGGCTTGGTTTGGAGGTTTCCGTCGTGCTTTCCATGTCAGCCTCCAAACCTGCTAAAATTTATATTGTTGCTTCCCTTCCAATGTCAACCAAGACAGGGACCAACCCAAACCACCAAAATATTACCTGGCTGGGCTGGCAGCAGCCAAACTTTGCCAGTCCCCAATCGTTTTTTTTCCTCTCTTTTTACGGCCCCTAAAATCAAATTGGTGGTTTTCCTCCTGGTGTCCCGCTAAAACCGAGGAGGGTACCCCCAAAAGACATCTCCAGCCCCTTAAAAATGGAATTGGGGGAAGGGGGGGTGACCCCTAAAATTCCATTTATGGTTCCATCTTCCCTTGGGGAAGACGAGGTAAATGGAATTGGGTGGACCCCCACCCCCCCTCCCCCTGAAGGTCGGAGTGGCTTTTGATCCCGCCGCTTCGTTTTGTCGCGCGCGAGGTCCTGGCGCCAGGCGGCCGAACGCCTGGCCCAGCTCCGGCGCCACCTGCAGCCGGATGCGGCGCCTCGGTCGGCAACGCGACAGGGTGCCCTCGCCATGCAAGGCCCTTTGGACCCTAGTCTGTGAGTCCACTTCTCCAAAATATTTTTTTTGTTTTAAGGAGGGTGGGAACTGGAACTGTCGAAGTCTTGGGCAGTTTGCATCTAGGCTTTGAAAGGGCCCTTGCCAACTACAGCAAGGGGCTGTGCCTGACTTTCTTTTATCATTTTCTGCTTGCTTGTATAGGGTGAAAGGCAGTCTCCTTTCAATTTCGATTGCCGCAATGCATCTACTTGGTCCCAGTGTGGCAGCGCCAGGACCTTGCAACGTGTCCAACAGGCTTTAGGCGTTCCAGCCACCTAAGTCCTTCAAGTTTCCGACTTGTTTGGACAGGTCCGCATTTGGCAAATGGCGGATGTGAACAACTAAAGACGTTTTAACGCGTCTTGACACATCCAGCCTTCAGCGCAAGCCTGTCGGTTCCAGTGAGATGGCTCAGAGCACTTAAACACCATTGGTCCCTTCGGTTAGTCCGTGCGCACTCCTCGGGTCCCAAAACGGCTAATGACCCTTGTCTGCAACGTGAACCAAAGAACATGCTAGAACAAGAAGTTGGCCTAGGGCGGAGAAACTCCCATTAGTTGGTTTTTCAGTCGGCAAATAAACAGGGGTTTTCTGGGGATTGCCTTGGAGGAAACCAGGCGGAATGGTTGATACCGGGGTCTCCTCCAAAACGTTCTTAAAAAGCAAAAAAGATTTATAAGGGTAGCCAAAGTGTGACACATAATCTGCACATCTGCTTCCTGCGCATGAGGTTCCTGACTTGGAGTCAGGTGACCGCTTGGGCTTTTGTGCGTCAATAAAATCTCAGAAGCGAACTCCAGGAACACCTCCAAGAATCCCCAAGTATGGGGGAAGCGTCCCCTATTTTTGTGACTTGTTATGCCCCTTGTCTGGCCATACTGTGGATGGGCGCAAATCCTGCACCACCTAAGAAACCCAACGGAATGATTCGATTCCTCCGCGATTGCCAACAAACAAATGGATGGTTTGCCCTGGTTTCCAAGTGGTGCAGGATTGCGTCCATCCACAGTACGTCCAGTGAAATCGATTCCCTTTACAAAGCCAACAAGGGTTTTAATAATCAAATGAATCTAATCTAGGTCCCCCAGTAGTGCCCTTTCCCTCTTTTTCGGGGGAGGGTTCCCTTACTAAAATAGACTACTGAAAAAGGGTACCCTTATTCTAGCCTCTCTACTGTAGGGCCTAGAAATGGTTTCTGCTCTTGCTGGCCAAGGGAGTTGGCAACTCCCTCCCGCGAGGCCGCCTTCAATGCCTGCGCCGCCTGCTGCGGTCGCAGCAGGGCCTGGCGCTTCACGCTGCGTGTGGCGGAGGCGCTGGCGCCCGGGGACAGGCAAGGTGGGGGCCGGGGGTGCGGTGGGGTGGGGTGGGGGGGAGGGGGTGGGGGTGGGGTGGGGTGGGGTAGGGGCGGTGGGGTGGGGTGGGGTGGGGTTGGGGCGGGGGTTCTAGGATTTCCTCGGACACCACTCCCTGAGTTCCCGAACTTCCACATGTTTTGCGGGAAGACGATTTTGGTGGCAAACGCTGGACGCTTTCAATTCGCTCAGGAAATAGTTTGAACCACCAGCAAAAGAAAGCTTCAATTCAGACTTGGGGCCAACCATATCCTGAATTGTCGCATGAGACATGGGCAGAGTCATTTTCAGACGGGAACCCAGTTGACAGCTTTATAAGAGTACGAAGGAGGATAAAAGGAACTAATTTGCAATCCGAGATGAAAGGGGCTTATGGGAAGGGACGTATACTATTCATCCGGGCTCAATGCAAGGTTACCCTCCCGTCCGTCCCTTTTTAAGGACAGTCGTCTTCCAGGTTCTTTGGTTACTAGTAGGTTCCATGTTACTGGGCAGGAGGGTAACATCACCCTGCCCGTTGCATTCCACCCTGTTGGCACTTTTGTCAGCTGGGCTTCCTGGAATTTGCCACAAGTGGGTGCCGTTTTCCCCATGCATCGGCCCATTGACCAGTTTCTTATACCCAGGGGTTTTCCATCTGCCCAGCGAGCGGATACCCGGGATTGCGCGATTCCGCAAAAAGGTGTGACCAAATGGGTCTTTAACTGGGGACCGGACCCGTTTCAGCGCCATCTAAAAGTGCCCCCCCCCCCCGACCGGAGGAAACAAGCACATGACTCAGCGAGAGTTTGTTCCCAACCCAGAAAGGGGAAAGGCAAGAATTCGAACGCATTCTTTAGTTTGGCAACGTACCTCTGCCCTCCATGACTGCAGTTGTCCTTGCCATACCTAGTACCTGCATAAATTGCCGACCTCGGATAAGGATCCTTTCTTGGCAGCCGGGGCCAGTTTTAGGCCGTGAAGCAACATATGTGCGTCGGGTGAAGTGCAGGAAAGGGTGGGGAAACGAAAGGGAGAGTGGCGAATGTTATCAGACCAGGTTGGCCAACCGAGCACTGCCTTGCCGCGCGAAAGCCAAGGGTAAGAATATGAATCTAGCAACTGATGTACTCGTTTTTGCATTGGTTTGGCTTTACATTTTCTTCCTTTTTTTTTTTCTCCCCCTCCGGTGGCACCGAACTGTGTGGCATGAGTATGTATCAGGTCGCTCCTTGGTAGCGCTAAAAGCGATACCTGCCCCTTTGAAGGGGGCGAGGGGCTGGTGGGCAACACCCTCCAATTTTCTTTGGTAGATATCATCTCATGTGCGCCTGATGCCAACCAAGAGGTCCCAAGCAAATTTCATACGTATGCCGGTGCGCTTTGTGAGTTCGTTGCCCCTCTTGGGGTTGATTTTTGTAGTTGACCATCCCAAGGAAACCACCCCCTTTTAGCGGGTTCTAAGCCAGTTTCTTGCTGGTTTTCAGCGGGAGCCAACTGAAACTGGGATCCCCAAAAGGAAACGGAGGGGTATTTTATTGAAAACAGTTCAAAAAAGTCAACTAAAAACTCCCGCAACCAGCCATCCCCGTAGCCTTTTAGCCTTTTAGTGTTTAGTGGTAGTTTCCATCTGACCCACTAAAAGTTAAACTTTAGCAGACCAGAAAAGGAAACCAAGGCGTTGCGCCCGACAGGAGCGCTTTCACCTACAACTCCGCAGCCTCCGCCTGCCGCGAGGAAGATCCCACTGCTCGCTGGCGGTCTGGCCTGGCAGTGCTGCGCACAGGCCGAGTTGAACCCAGGGATCACCGGGGAGATGTTTTGCACTTGACGGCCATTGGGTAACGGATCTCCAGGCCCCCCAGTGGTGCTCTTCTCTCCCCCAAGAAAAGGGGAGAGTTCCCCTACTAAAATAGACTACAGGAAAAAAAAGTACCCTTATTCTAACCTCTCTACTGGAGGACCTAGATCTTTAGACTTTAACTTTTTGGGAAATGAAGATGCTTTCTACTAAACCCCGAACAAGTCATACTTTTTGCAGGGGGGTCAACAGGAACCAAGTTCACACATGATGAAGCCACTCATCACTGGGGGATTCCTTCTTTCCGGTGTGTGTGTGTGTGTGTGTCTCTGTGACTTTGTTGATTTGTTGTAGTAAAAACTCACACTTCGGCGGCGTCTTTGGCCGCATTTGATGGGTGATCATTGGGAAAGAGAATCCGCCGTTTGGCAAAGGGCACCCCTCCATATCATGTTGATTGCCGGAGGTTGTCGTCCTGAGTCCTGAGCTCACCTATATTGCCATCATGATGCAAATGTTACTTTCAGCCTGGCAGGTGACAAGCCAAACAAGTACACTCCTGCAATCGCAACTCACGAATACTCACAACAACCGATTTTAGAATCTGCTTCTGCTCTGGTGCGTCGAAGACAGCATCATGAAGCCAACCAAGCATTTGTTGCCGACGCTTCATACTTAAGTCGGCTTGGTTCCAATTGTGTGCTGCTTGTTGTATGAAGCGGTTCGGTGTCTGTCGGCTCCATTCTGCGACGGTTAGGAGTAGATCAAGTCAGCCCAGTGATAGTCAGCTATTGGCATACGTTGCCTTGGCGACACTTGGTTGTGTTTCTTGATGTATCCATCTTGAAGTATGTGGTTTCTTGGCTTCTGCCTCACGATTGCTGTCTGATGATGTCAGGACGTTTGGGCAAACCTGCTGTTGGATCTCGCATTCTTTGCTTGCTCATCTTTTCAGCCCCTAAATTTCCGATGTGTGACCAACCCTCCCTTCACTGACAACTTCCTTCCTTCCTGCCTTACTTCTGGCGGACCCCTAGTATCCTCACGTTTCCTCGGAAATTCAACAATAGTGGAGGTCTACCTGCAACCAAGCGAAATACGTCTGTCCAAGAGTTCATTGCTCCGTGACAGAGAAGGATGTGACCCTGCGCCGGTCCTTTCCACACCATGGTCGCTTCGATTCTTAGGGGGTGCAAAATGCCAAGCCGCAAAATGGGTTGGATCCCTTTTTGCCGGGGCTTGATTTTGCGAGCCACGCTGCTCCACCGCACCAAGATCGGACAATTTGGCAATGCGTAGGTTGTTTGTGTTTTAATTGGTGTGCTTTGATCACAGTTTCTGAAGCATGCATCTGGTATGTGAGGCAATCATATTGAAACGTGCAGTGGGCGCCTCTTTTTAATGCACAGCATGCATCCTCAATGTGCTACGTGTCATCCTCCCTTAAATTAAAGGCCAAAGCTTCCAAAAAACCCATTGTTGGACCAGGTTCTTGGTCGAAAGCCCTGGGTTCTCCTTGAAAGGGTGTGATGTTTTGGGGTCTTCCTGGCCTCACCGCAGGGGAGGTGCAGCGGGTGGCCAAAGGCGCCTTCGCCGTCAGCAGCGCGGTGGCGCTTGTCGAGCGCTGGGCTTTGGGACTCCAGGTGCTGCGCGAGGTGGGGGGTGGATCGATTGGCGAACGCGCGGCCTCGGCCTTCTTGGGCTTAAGCAGGAACCCGAAAGGACGACCGACTTGGAGGTTCACCTATTTTGACACTGGCTTTTAGGGCCACTTTCCGTGCTACCAAGGAAGTGTCCTTGTCATAAGTCAATTATCACGATGACATTTATGGCCCAGAGGTACATGAGGTAGGTTCTCATGTAGTCAGTTGCATGTTGTACATTCAAGTGGTTGCCAAAGCATGATCCAATCACTGCTTTGGCTCAAGTGCTGAAAACAGCGCGTTGCACCGCGCTAGCCCCAAGGTTAAGGGAGAGGTCGCAGTCACGGAGGGGTTCGTTCCTTTTAAGGTCCTGGGTTCCCCCGTTGTTGACAAAACTGTGTTTCCCTCTCCTTTGAGTGGTTATCAGCCGTAACGCTTTTCGGGTAAACGAACCCTTCCGTGACTGCGACCTGTTGGTCGCACATGGAAGTCGGCCCTCACCGCGGCACACGCGGTGGGAAAGGGCCGCGTGCCCGATTGTACAACACTCTGCAACAGATCGTCGTCGACGAGTACAAGCGGCAGAACAGACGATTCCGGTGGGTCAGATTTGCGGACGCCTCGAAGCAACAGGTCGAGGCGCTCTTCTCCTGGCGTGAGTCACTGGATAGTTGGCACCTGTGGAATTTTGACCAAGAAGCCTTCGACGTGATCCAGGCCGCGGACAACGCTTATCAGCAGCGTCTCGCATTGGTTGAAACCGCAGGAGTGGTCTTGCCGCAGGGAGTGCCATCTCAGGATCAAGCCGCAGCCTCAGGCGCGGCGGGAGCATCGAGCAGTGCAGCGGACTGGCTTCGTCCTCCGACGCCTCCATCAGCTTCCTCCTGGTTGCAAGATTCGCGCACTCCTTTGCCTCGCATTCGGCCATCTGCAGAGGAAAGACAAGCCGCAAAGTCAACTCTTCGCGGGGTATACGCTAAAGCTGCGGAAACGCGGCGGGAGAGCAGCAGGGAGCGATCAACACAAAGATCGAGGTCCCCATCGCCAAGAAGGTCGAGGTCTCCATCAACATCACCGAGACGAGGACCAACTGCTGCTGCCCCTGTGGAACCACGGGCCCATAGTGTTGAACCCGCGCTTGCGCGGGAGGGAAGGCCATCCAGAACTTCCCTAGCCACTCGGCCCATTGTTTTGGCTCCACAGAATAGCATTTACCCTGTGACGAGGTTTGACGAACACGGTACCTGGGTATTGGTGCGGGAGGCATCACAACCACGTGAAGCGGCTCCTCGTCGGCGAGCGCAACGGACGTCTGGGCAGCTTCGCCAAGCCGATCCTTACCTCCTCGCTGACGAGACGTGGAGGGACCCGCCAAGGAGGTCCTCCACGAGCTCACGCTCACGGTCTCCTGACCGCCGCCCGGCGCCTGCGGAAACCTTCCGCCTCGACGCCTACAGCTCGGACGAGGACCCACCGCAAAACTTGGAGTCCATCAGGACGGGCAGGTCAGCATACGTGCCTCGGCGCGTTTACGAGGCGCCGACTCACTCCGAGCCCATCGCGCTTCACAGCCGAAGAATCGGGGCAGTTCAACCGCCGCCCCCAAAGGCCGCTCCCAAGGTCATCTTCGGCAGCAAGCCACCGTTGCCCAAGGAGGTCCCCAAGGCAGTTTCTCCAGCGCCTGCAAAGGCAGACATCCCGAGGAAGTCACCGCCAAGGGCCAGATCTCCGGTTCGGACTCAGAGTGCATTCGGGTACAAGGCACCTCCGCGAGGCTTGAACAAGGCCGAACCCAGAAGCAAATCGAGCTCAAACCCGCCACAATTCGGGTACATCGTCAAGCCGCCACCTCCGCAGGTCGTTCAAGCAGCTGCTGCTAGCGCTGCAACTCCTGAAGCTGGCACGCGATTCCGCTCGCCACCAAGGAGGGCACCGCCTGCGCCCCCGCCGCCGCCACCTCCGCCTGGAAGGCCGGTGCCGCCCAAGGAGCTTGTTGTTGCTCTTGACTGGCACGGAGTTCTTGACGTTGGGCAGCAGGGACCCCACCTCAACCCGGAAGTGATCCGACATCTCGTTCAGTTTGCCGCGGACTACGCACCTATAAATTTTATAGTGCTATCCTTCGTAGGCAGGGCTGCAAGCGAGTATCGCCGCCGCGAATTTCAGGTCGCCCTGGAGCACGCGCGGACAACATCTGGACTCACTTTTTCTACGATAAAAATCGTTCACGAACGGTTGGGAAGGGGAGGCAAAGCAGACGCCCTGCAAGGGCTGGGCGTACACGCCCTTATTGACGATACAGCATCGATTGTCCGTGAAGCTCAAAAGACAGGCATCGCGGCGTTCCGCAACTTTCCGCACTTCGGTCCGAGCGGATTTGCCAACGCGCTTGAGAACCTTGGTGAGTTCATCGAGTCCCGGAACAGACAATCCATTCCGGCGGCAAGGGGCCTGCATCCATCGCAGTACCTCGAGGAGATCCACCGATCTGCATCCCAGCTGCCCGCCAGCCGGGTACTTCGATAGCCATTGCTGCAAGCCGTTAAAACCGTCGCTTTGCGCGGTACAGCTTTTGCAATTACAAGCCTTCGATTTGCAGACAAATTCTCAATACAGCTTGGCAACATCCCTCGATAAAGCACCATAGTGCGGCAGTGCGGATCAATCAATCTACAAGTACAATTACAAATACAGAATTCATCAGGTGCAAAGCAGCAGGGCGCATTTTCTTGAGTGGCTCACTTGAGCGTTTCGCAACGTATTTTCTTGAGTGGCTCACTTGAGCGTGTCGCAATCAGCTGCCAATCCAGGGATATCTCCTCGTAGCACCTTTTGACACGCTGCTCAAAGCGCGTGGAGCTAGCTTCGTGTGAGTGCAAAAGTTGCATTGCTGTGTCATGGCTTCAACGGGTTTGTCACCGCCATCAGAACCCCGTTCAAGGTCAACCCCAAATAGGGATTCCGAACCGGATGACCCTGACCTAGCCATGGTTCCTGCAGTTATGTCCACAGTTCGCACATCCACACCTCAAAGAGCAGCCCAAACACGACCATCATCACCCCCGAGTGGTCCGATCGTGTCAGAACCGACATCATCCGAAGCTTCCCCAGCCATTCAGTTTCCTTCACAGGGATCGCAATTACCTGACCCGATGACTAACGTACCCGCTGCGGCATTTATAGCTGGAGCTGCGGTGCAGCAAGCTCATCGAGCATCCGACCTCGCTGCTCAGGCAGCCAATCACGCCTTGCACCAACAGCAGGCCGCCGATCAGGCGAGACAAGAGGCCGGATGGATCAGGGAAAGGGCTGTAAGAGAAGTTTCAGACGTTAGGGTTCAGGCCGCTCAGCTAGCTTCGCAAGCACAGCAGGCTGTTCAAACAGCACAACAAAGTGAGGCTCAGGCTAGGCAACTCATTGAGCAGACACGACAGGAAGCCTTAGGCCATGTCGAGAACGCACGACAGGTTGTTAATGCCACTCAACAGGACGCTCAGCAAGAGGTTCAACGCATTGTTCAAGAGGCTCAACAGGCAATCCTACAAAGGGAGCAAACCATTGCCAGTCAAGAGCATACCATTCGTGGATTGTCCCAGGAAAATTCTGTGATGCATCAACGACTTGGTGATCTCGAACGTGTTGTTGCGCAGCTCACCCAACAAGCTCGTGCGACCCCTGTTCCGATGCAAGAGTCCCCGCCGAAAGCCGCATCAATAGCCGAAACAGCTACGGAAACAAGCGCGGCTAAAGCCTCAAGTCAAGGCACAGTTCCCCCAGGAACCCATCAGCCGGTTGGAGCACCTCAGGTTTCAGGTTCACATGCCTCCGGTGTTGCCGCATCGTCGCAAGGGAATGCTTTTACAAGTACTATCCCCGACCCTCCGTGTGGTTCTGTTCAAAGTTCAGGACTTGGTCACGATGCCCCAGCTGATTCAAGGGACCCTGGTGGGGGTGCAACAAGTCAACATCTCGTAGGCCATTCGGCAGTGCTAGGAGCAGCGTCCTCTGTTGGAGACGCAGCCCCCGGCGCGTCGAGGACTAGCGGGTTGGGTAGAGACGGTTCAAGGGATCAAGCCGATGTGAGAGTGCAAGTGACGGCTTTAGCGGAAATGGTTCAGCAGCTTTCCCAATTGGTTGCTAATCAAGTGGCTCCGCCACCTCCGCCTCCGGCCGCACCACCTCCAGTGCCTCCCATTCCCCTTTTTGGGGCGCCGCCTCCGCCGAAAGCTGGCAATGGCACTCATGTTCCACCAGTACCAATCACAATGTTGGGAGGGTTATACTCGTCATCCCCGCAAGCGCCATCGGCAGCAAGCTCCGACACATCATCAGACTCCAATGGAGATGATGATACCCCACAATGTCGAGTTTGCGGCGGCAGCCATGAAGACACTGATTGCCCATACCTCACCATGAATGGTGGTGGGGGAGGTGGGGGAGGCCCTGGCCAGTTCCCCAATGCAGACCCGTCTCAAGCTGCCGATCCTAGTGTAGGCATGACCGTCACCGATCACGCCACGCATGAGGAATCCGTTGTTCGCGTCAAGGACCTCAAGGATCTCGTGTTGCCATCCCCTCCGGAGAACGCTGGTCAGGCTAGAGGTTTCATCAACCAAGTTTTGATGGCCATCGGTCGACTCCAGAAGACCCCCGGAGATGAAGTTTACCAGTGGGCCCAAGCATGCATGTCCTCCACCGAGCAAGAACTCGTCGCGGACAAGCGTTTCCCACGGTTAGATCGTGAAATAGCCGCAAAGCTCCTTAAGACCTGCCGCAAAGGTAAGTTCGGGCTCTTGTTTCAGAATATGGTTGAACAAGAGAGAATCTCGTCAGGTGGGATGCCCGTAGGGAGAATCATGTTGCGTGCTATCTTCAAGCACTTTCAGTTAGAACGAGGTAGGCTCGGAACCTTAGGAGGTCGCAACTTGTTAAAGTTGTCTCTTGCAGGCCCGTCCCTTGCTGACCTGGATGCCTTTCGGGAGAAGTACGTTTACGTGCTGACCGCAATTCCC